TGTTCCAGGTCATGTGGGTATCGTCCGTGCAGGACTTTCTTTTTCCAGTCCTATAACTTTTGTTTTTGTGGGTTATTAGTGTTACTGTGCTGTGTGTCTGTGTGTTCATTTAGGTTAAGTGGAGTGTAGTTAAAATCACTTAGGGCTACGGCTTTATGAATTTCACTAGTTCGAGATTTATTGTGAAAAATTGTTTTGAGGCTACTAATTTGTTTCTGCCAAAGGTGTTGAATATCTATTAGGCCTCTCCCTCCATTTTGTCGTTTGATTGTGAGTATTTCTATTGCGGATTTAGGGTGCAAATTATTGTGTTTGGTAAGTGTGGTGCGTGTGGTTCTTTCTATTATTATTATTATTATTTAGGACCACAGGCTAGGCAATGACTACGTGTATTGGCAGCGAATAACCTCCTCCTGACTGTCCTAAGACTAATTTGCACATTTCTTACTCCTTCGAGGTTGTTCTTGAGGTCCACATACGAAGATTTGAGATTTTTCAACGCGTGACTCAACATGATCATCACATGGTTCAGTACATGACTTTCTTCCAGAACCAGGCCTTCTCTTGACGGAAGCGGTCTTTCGATAGTGCTGCCAGGTCCTTTGGTCTGCTGAATCATTTAGTCTCCTAGCAGCCTCCTAGCAGGTCCTTAAGGAGCGAAATAATTTTGCTGGCTTTTATCACTTTATCTACCATTTTCGAAAGCGCTGAATAGTAGTAACAATACTTAAAAAAGTCGAAAAGGAAAAGAGATAATTCAATAAAAATGGACTAAAAGTTATTCAGAGTCGATATTAACTTTCACAAGTTAGCCACAAAATAGTAGCCACAAAATGTAGTAGAAAGTTGTTTTCTTTATCCCATATCATTCTAGTGTTCCATTTTAGGATCGGTAACTTAATTATTTTTCTTTATTTTTTCTTGTGATTGACCGCCACCATTATTTTTACGGCATAGTGGCAGCACTGACATTTTCAGCATTTTCAGCGAATTTTTAGCTGTAACTAAGAATATTTTTTCGTTTCATAATGAAATGTGTCTCATCGAAAGTGTGTGTAAAAAACAAAAAATTGCCCTTCAAGGCGGTGGAAAACTGTACACATTTCCGATAAACCGCAAAAAGCAGTACAATCACATTATGAAAGAACTGATACATTTTTTTACATGTATTATTGTTACTACATAGTGTTTGATTCGATCAAAATAATTTTGATAAAATATAAAACATAATTTTGATAAAATGACAACGCCCGACGTATCATTAAGCTGATTGGCACTTTATATATCGGCAATATAGCTCGAAGACTCTTTAAAAAAGTACGTTCCAAATTCAAATTTTTGCATAAAGATGAGCATGTAAAATCTCATTTGATTTAAGTGAAAATTACGTCAGGTCTTATTTATAATCCTACTAGCTTGCCAGGCAGACGTTCTGCCCTTTTTGACGACCCTATCATATCCTATTAAAAATGCTTAAATTCGCAAAAAAATTGTGGGTCAATCATAGGTAAAACAAACTATCCTATCTCTCAAGTTGGACCAAACTACACACGGTGTGCAAATTTGGTTAAAAATCGGTTAAGTTGTTTAGGAGTCCATCGCGGACGAACAACGTGACACGTAAGTTATATTTATTAAGATAAACAAGGGGTATACGAGAATAAAAAAAACGTTATTTCTTTTGAGATATTTAGCTTTTTTTTACAAACCGTTCCAAAACGGATAATATGCCTTTGGGTTTTTACACCTATCTGTTGAGGGGAAATAAATAAAATACATAAAGAAATTAGAATTTTTTAATTTACTGCTAACAAGAGAAACATTACATAAGCCTTCTCCAAGAAATACCACAAAGCACGGTCCTGCGTAACCTGCATCCATTGACATTCTGCGTCTCTTCACCACGGGGACCGGCCTTCATTTTGCTTACCCAATACCAGGCTGCCCCTTAAGAAATTTTCTTGCCCATCGATGATCTAATCTTCTGTAATTTCTTTTCTCTTTTTAGCAGTAAATTAAAAACTTCTAATTTCTTTATGTATTTTATTTATTTCCCCTCAACAGATAAGTGTAAAAACCCAGTGGCGTATTATCCGTTTTTGAAACGGTTTTGTAAAAAAAAAACTAAATATCTTAAAAGAAATAATGTTTTTTTTACTCCCGTATACCTCTTGTTTATAGGATTATATATAAGACCTGACGTAAGTTTGACTTAAATCAAATGAGATTTTATATGCTCAGCTTTAGGCAATAATTTGAATTTGGAACGTACTTTTTTAAAGACTACGGCACTTTTATAACCGGTTAGTAGCATTTTCAAATGATTAAAACCTTTTTCATTTTGTATTTTTTTCAGGCAAGAAAATAATCAAAACTACCTGCTTTTTTCAAATGTGTGTACCTATAGATACTACCAATGAACTGCTGAAAGGAAGAACTACTCTCATCATTACAACTGTTTACGTTATATTATTGAAATATGATACGTTTAATTGCTATGTTATTACACCAAAATGATGTAGATTAATGGTTAATAGCTCATGATAAACAAACTCGAAAGCAAGTCTTAGAAAGGTCACAAAATTCATGAAGCATCTTCTGAGTTCTCCCATGTAAAAAAAAATTATCCGCTTAAGCAGTTTTATTGAAAAAGTTTATGTGGAGCAATTTATTTACTGTAAATAGTTTAATATTTAATCTAAAACTTTTTTTCAAATTGTTTACTAAGTGTTGTTAGTTACAAAATAGGCCCAAAATTTGTGGGGTCTTATATGTATGATTTCACTGTGTTTCGTTAAATCATGAAACAAATCAGATTCGACAATATCAATAAAAATAATAGTAAGATAGAGTGCGATAGCACCTATTATAAACACAGAAGAAATCCCCCACAAATGTGCTGTTTTCTTAATAATAGTATTTTTGAAAATTTTAGAATATCTCCTGATAATATTTTATGAAATAAAAATTCTTTCACAAAGACATATTTTGTTTGAACAAGTTTGCTGGATCCGTAAGGAAAGAATTCAGTGATTTTGTAGTCAAGATCGGAATATCAGTAAAATATTGCTTAAAGCCGTTACAATATCTTTCAACAAAATTTCATCTTTTAACAAAATCGGATCAAGTATGAATCGTCATTTTGATATTATCGACTTTTGTAACTCAATATTTACAGCAAACTACTTTCATTCCTATAGTTTCTTGCATTAACAATCACTGTATATATGTATATAGTTTAACTTTTACTATATTTGTTTCATTTAAACAACGAGCGTACGATATGGCCTTAGTTGTGATACGTGAAAACTACGTGAACAAGTTCGGAGATGTAAAAACTCCACAAAAATTCTAACTGAAATATCTCTGGTAACCAAGTCAATACTGCAATACGCCTGTGCTCGGAAGTCGTTTTAAATTAACCTAACAGAAGTATTTTTATAACAATGTTTTCGTGAGTTTTACTATTTAATAAAAACTTAGTTTTCGTAGTTGTACACCGATTTTATGATGTATTTGATTTTATTAATTGAATGCTCTATTGGATTTTACAGAGGATGTTGTAACTATATTTTGAAACTATAAAGTTTTATACTTGTTTTTAATTTATTTAAATATTTCCTCAACTTAATTCTAAGATTACTTTAGTAGGATCACTCTGACTGTATACCTGTATACAAGGGGTCTAATTTAGTAGTAGATTTTCCAAAATAATATTACATACAAGAGTTTGTATACCTACCTTCTCTTGTTAGGCATAGAGAATTAAGCCGGTCTGATTAATTTCAATATTTTTATTTCTGATTGCGTGAAGTAATAACACAAGGGTATAATTATATTATACTCGTACTCGTACATGTTCAAGATTTCTTTAAGTATATTGTTTTTTTAATTATATGTCGTCCACACTTCTCGTCCAAGTTTAGTATATTTTTAATTTAATATTTATTCCTGTAAATTTTAAGAAGATTTTCAAACAAATTTAGACAATTTTGTTGCAAATAAAAACAAACAGTTCATCATAATATGCATTCGCGGTGAGCTCGACAAGCCCACACGATTAGAACATTTGGAGCCAGCCTTGAACCATATTTAAGCCACATGTCAAGGGGATTATGTGCGCTCGTCGAGTTATGTCTACACCTTGGTCTTGTTTCACTGCTTGGAACGTCTACTGAACGTTATAATACATAGGCTTTGTGTGAGCGGACATTGTCTATAATTGCGATAATAGCTAAATGGGGAAACGAAATCTACGAAATTGTCCCGATGGATTTATAATGTGGTAGTGATCACACACGCACGGAAGCACGCATACACACACACACACACACACACACACACACACACACACACACACACACACACACAAACACACACACACACACACACACACACACACACACACACACACACACACACACACACGCACGCACGCACACACACACACACACACACACACACACACACACACACACACACACACACACACACACACACAGCAATTCTCATTCATAGCCATTGCATTAAAAACTTGCAGTTAAAATTGACGACTAGATCGAGTGGCTAAATTAGCTGCAACCCGGCGGGTCAAAGGTTCAATTTTCGCTCAGAACAAGCAAGGGTATTATTGGCATGGCCTACGGATAATTATTTTTATGGATCTTAGTATTTGATTACGTGCTATTTGAGTATGTAAAACGCCTCCACAATACAGGAGAATTTCATAGAATAAATACATATTCTTGTTTTTTGAAAAAGAATTCATAAGGAACAATTTTTATTTTAAAAGAAAGAAGAAACAAATTATTATGCTACTTATACGTTTATTGTCGATCTTATGACATTATTTTCTGTACAAGTTTACACATAAAGGGTAAAAAACCGCGCTGCAAAAAGTCGTACCTGAATTATTACAATTTACAAAGCTGCCGTAGAGACAGGGTTGCTTAAATTTATGTTCAAGTTGTCAACAGTTTGTTCAATAAGCTTCTGTTACCATGGGTAAGGTAAATGAAAATATATTTTGAGGCAGTTAAACGCTAATACGAATTCATTTTCTTAATAGCCCAGGAAGAATCGGCGCATGAGTATCGCAGAACTATTCCACATCAATTTTTAAGCGGTTCTTTTCAAATTGTCTTAATAATGATATAAATGCAATTGTATTATGTTATGTTATATGTATTTAAGAGTTTGAAAAACCCGCAATTGTGATACTTTTGACCCATTAAAGTATATAAAGAAAAATATTAAAATATAAAAGATTTTATTTTTATATTTTTCGATTAAATACTAGTAAAGAAGGTATGACTTTTATAATAAAGTTAATATGGGTTATGAAAAGTTTGAAAACATGAAACACTTTATATGTTTTAATGAGTCAAAAGTATCCGAATTTGGGATTTTTCAAACTTTTAAAAATTCATAACTGACGAAAACTTAATCAATAATTTTCTTGATTTATTTTATAAAGTATAGAAATGATATATTAATGACTGAAATAGAATACATATATAATGGAATAAAATGTATTACAAAAAACATATAAATAGAGTAATTTTTTGTAACACCCGTATCATTTTAGCTAGTAAATATCTCTTTGCATTTCTCTTACTCGAAAATAGGAACGAAATAACGTAACTATAGGAATTTTGCCTTAGAAACTGGGATATTTCATCCGTTTAATTTATTTAAGAATACAAAGTGTTATATAAGATAAACATAAATTGAACGAAATAATAGTAAACTTCCAAAAATATGTTTCGTAAATCGGTAGTTTAGCATAAATACATGTTTTAAGGGTCATCAAGCAGAGATGTGCTATAATTGAAAAACGTATAACTTTAAAATAACCATTTGATATTTTTAGAATTGACTGATCTTCTGACTCAATCGAAATTTAAAAAGAGTATTGAAAAACGGCGCTTTTCTGACTGGTAAAAATTTTGTACGAATATTTTAAAATGGAAAATGTATGAATGAAGGTTCAAAGGTCTGAGTTTATTTTTTAAGCATTTATTATACGAGCACGGACATGAACTTAATTTAAATTTCTAACACTCGATGGAGAATAAGGATCGTTATATTTTTGACCCATATCACATATAAGTGCGTTTGCTGTTATATCATTGTATAAAAACGCAATTGCCTCCATTCGTTCCACTATAGGACCTCTTTTAATTTCAGTCTTACTCACAGGAGACCACTGGGTTTTGCATCTAGAGCATGCTAGCGGATTTCACATCTTTTCAAAGTAATTTTCCTTCAACTTACCTTAAAATTGTGTTTAACTACATACTATGAAATTTAAGATGAAAGCTCAGCTTCTGGGCTACCAAGACATTTTATTATTCTGTTTGAGCATGATCATTATTCTGCAATTGCTAAGCCTTCAGCCATTTGTACGTGTTTATTTAGTATATTTAACTTTTAATTAAGGATATTAAGCCAGTGAATTACTACAATCCTACCTAGCGGTAAGGTTAAGGTGCCTTGAATATGACTTCACCCACATTGTAGTGAGATAAAACAAACTGACGCAGGCAAGTTATTCCATCTCTACACATTACAAAAGATAAAGCAAACCATTTAGTTCGCATCCGTAGAATATCGTCAAAAATGGATGAATACAACGACAGAAAAAGATAGAAAAGGGGAAACTGGAACTAAACCATAACCATTTGTCCCATGAGTCATATATGAACATTTCGATTGTTTAACTATCGTGTCTTTTACGCGGACAGGGAAGTTATTAATATTCCTGCGCATACTCTCCGGAATATATATATATATATATATATATATATATATATATATATATATATATATATATGAATATATCATGACATTGGCTACACTAAGTGCGTGCTTGAGACTAATAGGTATAGTTTCAACCAAATCAAGGTCACTTATAAGTCTCTTAGTATGTCTCTACACGCTGGACTTAGCGTAGCATTTAAGGTGGCATTTTGCGGCGCCATCGCCAGCCCAACTGCGATAGTAGTACTTCTATGCGCGATCGGATTTAATATAAGGTTTATTTAATCTATATATATATATTTAATTTCCTATCTCTGCCATAAATACAAACATATATTTTTTTTCAGAAACAAAAGCTGCTGAATATGCGGAGCTCGCTAGTCGACCAGTATCAGAGCGGTCGGCGGCGGACACGGAGGCAGCCCACGAACTACTGTCGTTGGCTCACAGCGTACCTCCACTTCCACCCGCCGCCGTTTTCACCGTCCTGCATGCGACTGACACGCCTCTCGTGCCGCTATATACCTACACTATTCAACCTACCAACATTTTTATAATAGCCGAGGAGCCACCGGAACCGATCATCCACACATTTCAGGCAGTCGCACCTGTACAACCCGTTGAATACGCCACCGTCGAAGGTTCAATAAGCTACGTGGCATATCAACCTAGTGAGCTCATTGAACATAAAGCACTCGATCCAGTACCGCTGCAAGAGCCGACCCTAGTCCCAGAACTTAAACGAGCGGAGCCAGAACCGGAACCGGAACAGGAACCAGCACTAGACCAAGAACCGGATCCTGATACAGATATAGAAGTCGAACAACAACAACCTATCACATTAAAGGAAAAAGGAGGAAAATTCGACTGCAATGAATGTGGTAAACGCTACGCGACTTCGTCAAATTTATCGCGCCATAAGCAAACACACCGAAGCTTAGATTCGGGGTCGGCGAAACGTTGCGGCGAATGCGGCAAAGCCTACGTGTCAATGCCGGCGCTGGCCATGCACGTGCTTACTCACCGCATGGGCCACGTTTGTGGCGTGTGTGGCAAACAGTTTTCTCGGCCTTGGCTGCTTCGTGGGCACTTGCGTTCTCACACTGGCGAGAAACCATACAACTGCGCCTCCTGCGGGAAGGCTTTCGCGGATCGCTCCAACCTTCGCGCCCACCTGCAGACTCATTCGGCTGACAAGAAATACGAATGTACACGCTGTCATAAGACTTTCGCACTCAAAAGCTACCTCAACAAACACCAGGAGTCAGCATGCGTGCGCTCCGACGACGAGTAAACTCACGTCGACAAACCATTGCAACGAACGATTTCTCTATGAACTTCTTTACACCTTTATATTCAAACGAAAAATATTTTATACTTAGCTGCTCGAAATTAATAAGCAATAATTATGTACCTAATATCTTTGTGGCTCTTCCCATAATAATATAATTAAAATTAAAAAATGATAAATTAATAAAACAAAGTATTTTTTCAACTGATAGTCTGGCTTCGACGGAATGAACAGTGTCAATTTATGGCAAGAGCCTGCAGTGTTATAGCGTAGGTTAATAGTTACGTAGTGATATAGGCCTTACTTATAAACGTTTTGTTAAAGTTTAATCATCATTGAGTGCTCATTTAAAAAACTCAATCACTATTGATTGACTGAACAAAAGCAGTTATTAATTCTTGTCATATTATCGGAAAAGTTTTAAATATGAAATTATTTTTTAATAATTAAAACTGCTTTATAATAATGAATATTTAAATATTACCACTATTAATTCGATTAAATTGCTTTTGAGCAAAATTTTTGATTGGCTTTGTGATGACGTCTTAAAATATTAATTATATGGAACAAGAACAATTACCAATCTTATAAAATATTATAATATAATTAATTGCAATAATAAGAATACAAATATTAGTAGTAAAAATAATAAGATTAATTATTATACAAGATTATATTTAATAACTGTATCAACAATAATTTTATCAAAAAAAATATTGGTATTGATACCAAACTTCCTGAATCTAAAACGGACAGTCAATTAATTATATTTCATCTAACTTGCTAATAAGCCGTCTGGTAAGACGAATTATGTTGCCAACTATTTGTATTTTGTTTATAATTAAGATATAGACGAGATTTAGCAGGCTGGAACTAGGTGCAGCTGGTTTCGTTAAATTTAGGTGTATTTATTGGATTCGTTCTTGCTAGAAGTAATAATAAACTTGAATTACTTGTTTCCATGGCAATGAAATCTATTTTACTGATTTGTTGATTAACAAATTTTAGTCGGAAAAGTTTTTATAATTATTAATTAAAAATGACGATTACTATTTTTCTTAATCATATTTAAGTAGATAATAAAACGATGATTAACGATTTTTATAAGTAAGGCTGATTATATGATGTATATGTAAGCAATTTGGCGCTACACGTTTTGTGTGTGTGTGTGTGTGTGTGTGTGTGTGTGTGTGTGTGTGTGTGTGTGTGTGTGTGTGTGTGTGTGTGTGTAACCGTTTAGAAGTAGTTACGGTGATACGTAGAGACTTAATGAAACCGTCGAGCTGTGGTACAAAGAGAGCAATAAAGTTATGAGTGTAGAAACATGATAGGCGCACGAGTAGCGTGCGAGGAGTAGCGAGTAGCCTTTCGAGTGCTGCTGCGGGGGGACCAAGCATTGCTTAAGCTGGATTGCCCAGATCTAGACTGCGCCCGCCACAAGCACCCTCGGTCGGATTAAAGTACACTTTGCGTACATTTGAGTACATATATATATACTATATATACTTCGCGTTATATACATTTATTGCGTTAATCCAATAGTCTCGTACCGTTATTAGAGCAACTTTTTCTAGATATATTTTACAGCTAATAGCCGACTGTAAAATATACCATAAATTCGTGATCCAATAACAGTGACCAAATAACAGTATCGAATATATATCTAATATGATGATTGACAACAGGTATCTATCTATACGCTATTATTTAATTATGTATTATATATTAACTCACAATGAGTAGTTTTCATGGATAATGTTTCGCTAGAACTTTGACAGTAGCATTGCATAAAAAGCATAAAGCAACACGGGCCACTGGTGCACCGGAGAAGAGTATAGCCATACGCAGGCGTTCTCCTCTATCAAAGTATAAGTCTACCCGGTCCTGTGAACATTAAAACTATTTGCAGTCGTACTGCTCACTAGACAATACTCCACCAAATCTAAGAAATACCTTCTGACAGCTTCACATTTATTGGACTGTGCATACTAACTGAAAAGTCGGTAGATTAATAACAGAATAAATGAGAAACAGATAACTCAAAACACAAAATGTATCGGTTTCTTTATATTTATTGCTTACTGCTACTTTCAGGAGATAAAGTTATATGAATTAAAAACTGAGACTAAGATTTTATTTAATTAGTCAATTATTATTTGATTTCCTATAATGCATACAAAATGAATATCTCTTTCATAGCCCTACATAAAAAAAAATTGTTGTCTTTGTGTTCTCCATCACTTTGGCCAAGTCATCTATTGAGTAATAGTTGTATTTTTATCCCGGATGATTTTTAAAAAATGACAAAACACAAATGGCAATTTATGAGGTGCCCACTTTCTCCAACGGGCATGTGTCATCTATCCGTGTCTGCGGCAGAGTGTGGTTGACGTTTAGCTATGTTTCATCAATGAATATAACGTTGTCCTGATTGGATATATTTTTAATTTTTCGTAAAATTTTTATTCTTTGCATTCATGTCTCTTAATAATTATTTTGTAATTTCATTTTTTGCCAGTCAAAAATTCAATCGGAAATGAATTCCTTTTCAAATGGTTCTCAATGACTATTTAATACCATTGTGCAAACCGACATCTTCTAAGATTATTATTTTGCTACAATGGGATTCACAGATATTATAATAAAACTATTTTTTTTAATTCATGATTTATATATTTTATGCAAATTTAAAAATTAAAGTTTAAATAAACAAGTAATAAATTAAAAAATGTATGTAAATGTTCAATTATTTGAACATTTTCATCAATTTTTCGGATTAGTATGAATTTGAATCATTCAAACACTACGGTAAAACAACGACATATCGTTGAAATAACATCAAGCAAAAAAAGTTGATTCCGATATTTTTTTATTTTGCTATGTTTGATAGCTTAGAATTATAAGTGATAAAGTAGTATAATTTTGTAATGAAAAATAAGTAACTTCATAATTCATTGATTTATGTAGCAATTTATTTTAAATCGTGTGAGTACTCTGGTAAAAAGTTATTGCGGAATAATTAATATGCATCGTTAAAAGGTATTTCCTGGATTTGGTTAATGTCCTACAAAAATAGCGAATTGTTTAGTTTTTTTTTTGCTGCAAAATGAGTCAAATTTATTTATAATGTCATATTTACAAAATATGGTTATTTCATATTTAAGTAATTTTAATTGCTTATTTTTAAACCTAAAGGTTACGATAACAACGGTCGTTTTGTTCTACCTCTTCCGATCCACCGGTGGTGGTTGGTGTTGCTCTATTATAAAAAAATTAAATAAAACATAAAAACAAAAAAAAAACAAAAAAAAACATGAAATTGTATTTTGGCTTTAATAATTTTTAGTGTAAACGAAATAGTCGTATGGAAAATTCCCCACAATTCATATTTATGTTTATTTCTATTCATCTGATAAGCTTTGTATCCCTTTTTTTCTAAGGGGACGTAATAAAGATTTTAAAATAAATTATACTTTTTTAATATAAAAACAATTAACTGCAGCTTAAAAAAACTCATTTTTATTGCGTATTTTAGGTAAAATTTCATATAGTAAGACACACCAACCCGCCATTGCATGTTTGTATGTCTATCTTTATCTAATCTTACGACGACGATATTGTTTTTGCAACTTGTGTAAGTGAGATAGATATATGTTTACTTAAAAGTGTTGTATAACTCAATGCGTTTTGCATAGTATACAATGTTTGAAATCATTTTTTGATATCACACTTGTAACTATGTAGCATGAGCCATTTAATTTTCCCTTGCAATTTCTCCTTAAGGTTTAAATATCGCATGAGATAGATGTTCTTGATAAAAAATAAGAAAGCAATTTAGTGTAACAAAATTTTAAAAAAAGTTGAATAATTAGCTAATACAATTTGTGACATTCTGTTCATAATACTCAATGATTATTTACACTTATTGTTAGAATTGTGTGGCTAAAATACATAATATTACAGAATGACGGTCTTAGCTAGTATGACTAATGGAAACGCATTGTTATTATTCATAATAGGTAATCAGTATATAACAAAAGATTATTTAAAAGTTTGAATCTCACTTTACATATATAATACTTAGTCCTCGATTTTATTGGTAATATTCTATACATCCATGGTAAAAAGCTACACACTTTGATATGTTTTGTACCACACAGAACAAAATGTTTTAGATGATAATTATATTATTTTTACATACCATTTTGATATCGTTTAATAGTTTGTATTTCATAACAAAAATATTCTTGTAATAATTTTCAAGGCTTAAATATTGATTTCGCGAGAATTTATTTATTTCTTAATATGTTTTATTTCTGTCAAATACTGCCAAACACATTGACCATAATATGAATGGACACAAAGTACGAGAATTCAACGAAAATTAGAATATAAAAAATATACTAATCAATGCAAGCTTAATATTATTATTAATATTATTCTAGTTTTCATTTTATTTTGTACATAAGCTCTTTAAATTAAATGTGCAAAGTTATAAATAATATTCCGTGAAATATAATATTTCAATCATTTAAAACAGCATTAAATATTTTAATATTTAAATGGCAGGTAAACGAGTGAAATTGTTCTTAGCAATAACCTAAATTATATTAGGCAATTTGTAAATAAGTAATATTAAAAAACCTTTCAACATGAGTTTCCTCGGCCACAAAACCACTAAGGATAATATAGTTTTGATCTCACTGTATAGCATTTTGATTCGATTTATAGACAGAATTAAACGGATAACGGTACAATTAATTATGGTATTATTAACGGCTCCTTATCTGAAATTGTGGTTTTTGATAAAACTGATAATTTTAAGGGCGTAAGAATCCATTGGCTTCTATATCATAGGTATTAGATAGTAGGTTACCTAATACTAAATTTATTAGAGTTTCGTATACATAATATAAGGTCTTCATAGAATCTAATAAACCCACATAAATATATTATAGCCTCTTGTCAATTTTGATCGTTTCTGTCAATTTATGATTAGAGTT